AAACTGGATTAGTTTTCAAAAGTGTGTATTTTAGTCTTCCGTCATCAAATTATGAGAGGTGGAATTGTTCATCATATGGTCATCAACATTTAGTGTTGTCATTTTTTCCATTCCACAGTGAGCAACTCTTTGTGGTTTTAATTTGTATTTACACAGAATTAAAGATGTTAGGCATATTTTTATATGCATCTTGGCCATTTGTATATCTTTTTAAAAATATCTGTTCAAGTTAGACATTAGGATATCTTTTTCTTATTGATGAATAGGATTTCTTTACATAGTCAAGCTCTTTTTCAAGTATATGTATTTTGAATATCTATTCTAGTCTGTAGCTTGCCCTTTTGTTTTCTTAATAGAGATTTATTATTTCTTTTTCATTTTTAAAGAAATCCTGTCAATATAAATTTATTCTTCTCTGTGTCCTAAGAAATATTTCTTTCTTGAAGATGGGGCAGATTTTCTCCTACGCTTTATATCAGAATATTTATAGCTTTAGACTATACACCTAAATCTATTATATACCTGAAATTTATTTGTGTGTTATGATGTAGGGCTTAAGTTGTTTTTTGTTTTTATTGATTTATGAAGTGGTTATCATTTATTAGAAAGATTTTTTTCTTTCCCATTTGAATTGGGTTGGTGCCTTTGTTTAAAATTAAATGGTCAAATATGCATTTGTATATTTTTATTCTTCTCTATCAGTCTGTTTATCTTCCCAAACACCAACATCACTTTGTCTGGTTCAGGATAGCTTTCGACACGTATTCAGCCAGGAATAATAATTTCTCCCAATTTATGCCTCATTATAATTTTTATCTATTATAAGTCCTTGCATTTCTATCTAAATTTTAAAAATAAATGGCCAGTTTTTTTCAAAATAGCAGATCAGATTTGATTGAAACTTAATCTAATAACCAAATAGAAAACTGGCATCTTAACACGATTGAGTCTTCTAATTTATTAACGTGAATTTAGGTCTGATTAATTTTCCTCAGAAATAGTAGTTTTCAGGATAGTATTACTGCATACATTTTATTATGTTTTGAATATAGCAAATATCATTTTAAAAAATATCTAATTTTACATACTGGTCTGATGTCTTGTTTTATACATTTCTTGTTTTATACATAAATGACTGTATTGTCTGTGCATAAAGATTTCTATGGCTGCTGTTATTTTTCTTTTTCCAAATTTTGTATTTCATTCCTTTTTTCTTGCTTTTTAATACAGCTCAAACCTCAGCACACCGTTAAATGTAAGTTACAAGGACATACATACTTGCCTCGTTCCCAATGTTAGGAAGAACACATTTAATATGTAGTCATTAAGTATGACATTTGATATATGATTATGTAGATGCTTCTAATATTTAAAAAAAGTTTCCCTTAGTCTACTCTGAGGTTTTATCAAGAATACTTATATAGTTTTGTCAATAGAATTTTCTGTATCTATTCAGATCACTATATGGATTTCTTTTAATAGGTTCAAATACGTTAGTTAATTTTTGGGTGTTAAAATAACTTTTTATTACCACAGTACTCCCCAGTGAATCATTATCTATTTCATATGTATTATCAGAATTGATTTACTAATATATATATTTTTAGCTTTGTATCTGGGTTCAAAAATTATGGTTGTTTATTATTGTTTCTGGTAATGTCTTTACTAATTTTTGCAAACATGAATAATTTGATTACTTTATTTCCAATTTGCATGTCCCCTTCTTTCTTTTTTTTTTTTTTTTTTTTGACTGATAGCTCTAGCTAGAACTTGCTTAGGATTTCTAGTACTATGTTGAATAGCAGTGATGAAAGTGGGTATCCTTTTCTTGTTCCAAGTCATGGAGGAAAGGCTTTCAGTTTATCCCCATTCAGTATGATACTAACTGAGGGTCTGTTCTATATGGCTTTTATTATGTTGTGGTATGTTTCTTCTATACACAGTTTTTTGAAAGCTTTGATCATGTAGGGATGTTGAATTTTATCAAATGCTTTTTTTTTTTTAGCATCAATTGAAATGATCATATGGTTTTTGCTCTTCATTCTATTGATGTGATAAATCACATTAATTGATTTTCCTATGTTTAACCATCCCTGCATCCCTGGGATAAATCTCACTTGGTCATGATGAAAAGATCACATCTTTTCAATGTGTTGTTGAATGCAGTTTGCTAGTATGTTGCTGAGCATCTTTGCATCAATGTTCACTAGGAATACTGACCTGTAGTTTTACTTATGTGTCTCCGGTTTTGGTATCAGGGTAATACTGACCTTGTAGAATGAGTTTAGAAATATCCCCTCCTCCTCTATTTTTCACAGTAGTTTGAGTAGGATTGGTATTAGTTCTTTTAAAAATATTTGGTAAAATTCAGGAGTAAAGCTGTCAGGTCCTGGGCTTTTCCTTCCTGGGAAACTTTTTATTATGTTTCTATCTCATTACTTATTGGTCTTTTCAGGTTTTGGGTTTCTTCATGGTTCAATCTTGCTAGGTTGTCCATGTCTAATGTATCTATTTTAGATTTTCGACTTTATTGGCCTATAGTTGCTCCTGTTAGCCTCTAATGATCCTTAGAATTTCTACAGTATCAATTATAATGTCACATTTTTCATCTCTGATTTTATTTATGTATTTATTTTATTTATTTATTTTAGTGTGCCTAAGGTTAGTAGGTTTGGTTTATCTTTTTAAAAAGCAAACTTTTCATTTTGTTGATATTTTGTATTTTTTCATTTCAATTCATTAATTTCTGCTCTGCTCTTTCTTCCTTCCTTTCTTCTATACTTATTTTGGGTCTGATTTACTCTTGCTTTTCTAGTTCTTTAAGATGTATCATCATGTTATTTATTTGAGGTTTTTCACTTTTTTGATCTTGAAAATTATAGGTGTAAATTTCCTTCTTACTACTACTTTTTGCTGTATCCTATAGGTTTTGTTATGTTGTGTTTCCATTTTCATTTTCTTCAATACATTTTTCAACTTCCTCTTAATTTCTTTTTGAAATCCTAAGGATCATGAGCAACCAGAGGCAACTAGGAGCAACCAGAGGCCAATAAATTAGAAAACCTAGAATAAACTGATACATATAGATACAGAAAAATGCACATTATCAATGCATTCTTAAATATGCTTTGGTAATTGGTCTCTTTTAAGAACTTTAAGCTGCCAAATTTGTGAGTATAGAATAGTTCATAACCGTTATTATCATTTAAATATATAGGTTCTGTGATCATATTTATTCTTTTATCAGTCCTTTTTTTCCTAGTCTTTCTAGGATTTAACAGCTTTATTGATCCTTTCAAAGGAATTGTGTGAATTTACTATTTACTTTCAATTTATTTCTTTCATTACCTCTGTTTTATCAAATTAGATTTTAATTTGTTTCTTATTTTTGTATTGACTTTAAAACTTATGTTTTTTTCCAATACAAGAATTTAAATAAATTATCCTCTCAATTTAACTCTATACCATAAATATATAACTGTGTTATTACCGTAATTTTGTTTTATTTTTTTAATTGACCTATAATAATTGTGCATATTTATGGGTACATAATAATGTTTCAATACACATAATGTATATATGTAATTACCCTGATGAAATCATGGTAATTAGCATATCCATCATTGCAAACATTTATAATTTCTTTGTTTCGGGAATATTCAATGTACTTTGCTAACTATTTGAAACTATATATCATTGTTAAATACTGTCATACCATAGTGGTATAAGCATTAGAACTTATTCCTCCTGTTATATTTAAGCGAGTTACAGAAGAAGTACCACACTTTGAGTTTAAATTACGAGTTCTTCATTGCCGTCGACTGAAAGATGATGGCTAATGCTTAAAATTCTCTCCGCCCGAGGAAGGGGTTTTGTTTTTTTTCTAATACCTAGGCTAGGCTAGGAGTGGGGGAGCCTAGCTGAAGCAGAATTTTACAGAAGCAGAACAAGCATGTAAGTAGGAGGAGGCTGGTAACCAGGAGGCAGGAGATTTTCATAGTTGCTGGTTACTAAGAGTATTTCTATACAATTATTAAGGGGGGTAGTGGGAGGACTTTCCATACAGTTAATTACTAAGAGAGGTATTCACAATAGCAGGGGTGCTTGCCAAGCTGAATACAGTTACAATGGTGACAGGTACTAAGAACAGTATCCTTCAAACTTTAACAGTTCCAGGCTCTGAGTACAGCATGACCCAGTTATGCACCTAAGGGGGCTGTAGTAGGGAGGGAGAAGCTAGGCTGGAGCTTACAGCTAAGATGGAGTTAGATAGGCTAGCACAAGTTAGGTTATTACACTCCTATCTAGCTTTAATTTTAAATCTTTTAATAAATCTCTTTCTATCCCTCCCTTCCCCTTACACTTCTCTAGCATCTTCTGTTTTACTTTTAACTTCCGTAAAATCAAAATATTTTAGCTTCCACATATGAGTGAGAACCTGCAACATTTAGCTTTCTTTTCCTGGCTTATCTCACTCACGTAATGTTCTCCATTTCCATATTTCCATGCACGTTGCCATGAAGGACAGGACTTTCTTCTCTTTTATGGTTGAATAGTACTCCATTGTGTATATGTACATTTCCTTCCTCTCTTTCTTCCTTCCTTCCTTCCTCCCTTCTTTCCTCCCTTCCTCCCTTCCTCCCTCCCTCCCTGCCTGCCTGCCTTCCTCCCTTCCTCCCTCCCTCCCTCCTTCCCTCCCTCCCTCGCTTCCTCGCTTCCTCCCTTCCTTCCTCTCTCCCTCCCTCCCTCGCTTCCTCCCTCCCTCCCTCCCTCCCTCCCTTCCTTCCTTCCTTCCTTCCTCTCTCCCTCCCTCCCTCGCTTCCTCCCTTCCTCTCTTCCTCCCTTGCTCCCTTCCTCCCTTCTTCCCTTTCTCGCTTCCTCGCTTCCTCCCTTCCTCCCTTCCTTCCTTCCTCTCTCCCTCCCTCCCTCCCTTCTTCCCTCCCTCCCTCCCTTCCTCCCTTCCTCCCTTCCTCGCTTCCTCCCTTGCTCCCTTCCTCACTTCCTTGCTTCCTTGCTTCCTCCCTTCCTTGCTTCATTGCTTCCTTTCTCTCTTTCTTTGTTTTTGGGATGGAGTCTTGCTCTGGAGTGCAGTGTCGTGATCTTGGCTCACTGTTACCCTCAGTCTCCCGAGTAGCTGACTTCTATTTTGTTATTATTCTCTATTTCTAGATTCTGTTAATGTTGCTTTTCCTAAAAGGTAATAGGAATTTTATCTGTTTCTTGATTCATGTTTGTATATTCCTTCAAATAGATAGTTTTATCCCTTACTCTACTTTTAGTACATAGTACCTAGTGCAGAACATTAATATATATTGAACACCAATATTTGTTGAACAAATGACTGAAAATGAATCTATGAATCTGTCCTGCTATCACAAAATTGTGTGTGTGTGTGTGTGTGTGTGCATATATAATTTTTTTTCCTATAGGGATACCATCAACTGCATAGTTGTCTAAGCCAAGAGTTCCTGCTAGAACTGATGAAAACTCATGCATCCTCATTGTTCAGAGCCTGTGTTGCTCACCTGGGGCTGTAGTTACAGGCTGACCATTCCTTCCGGTTAATATCTGAGAGGAAGAATCATGTAGTGAGGAGATAACTGTGAGGGAATAAAATAGAAACCCTTAAGGACAAAAGCCCAGCCTGGATTTCTTTTAATGATTAGCGAATTAAAAGATTTAATCATTAGAGGTCATTAGTGTTTATTACATAAAAAGTAAGCTGACGAAATACATAACTGAGTTATATGCACATATCCTGTTGGTTCTATTTCTCTGGAGAACTCTATTAAAGAAGTTATTATTTACATGTGCACTGACAAATATGTCCAAAGATTGTCTGAACACATATAAATTTATATCAATGATCATATTTAGTTCATTCTTATTGGTGGTTCATAGAATGAATGATAAAAGGAGATTCTGTCCCCTATTGAAGTGTTTGTGAAGTTACATGCCAGAGTTTTGGAAACTGAGGAAAAGGCTGAGCTTAAATAATCTTATAAGCAAACTCAATGCTTGAATGTAAGATAGTACTTTTCTTTGAAAGATCTGGAGGATTTCATAATGACTTTTACTTTGCTAATTATTGCTACATTCACATGTAAATAAGGTTTACTTAGGTAAGTGCAAGTAAATCATGCTTTTTCTCTGTCTTATTTTAAACCTGATTTTTTTTACTTTGCTTTTACAGGAAAATATTCATTATTATGTTTAAATTATTGAACCTATTGTATTCTTTAGATGCATTAGAACTTGGTGAAATATTAAATGTAAATAGCTTATGTTTTATATTATACCAAACAGGACCCATGTAGCAACTCTGGCCATATTATTTATAAGTGGTATAATATAGTTAGCTTTAGAAAAATAAATGTAGGGGCTATAAGCTGTGACTAAATATAAGCAAAAGTTACTTTACGTTTTAAGTAATATTAAATACCATTACAACATTAAAAGAAAGTACTTTTCCAATTAAGGACTTGCAAAACTTTGATTAAAAATAAAACATGCTATTTTAAAAGGAGATAGAATATCCAAAGTTTTCAAGTTAAGTTATTGTAAGCATATTCAGAAAAGGATATTTCAAACCAATATTTTGAATATTTGATTTTGGAATTCTGAAACTGAAGCTATCCACACATTATAGCAAACAGATTTTTACAATTTGTTTTGTCTTAATTTTTTTTTTTTTTTTTTTAGAGGAATCTCTCTCTGTCCATGCTGGGTGCAGTGGCGTGATCTCTGCTCATGGCAACATCTGCCTCTCAAGTTCAAGTGATTTTTCTGCCTCAGCCTTTGTAGTAGCTGGGACTACAGGCACTAGCCACCACACCCGGCTGATTTTTGTATTTTTAGTAGGGATGGGGTTTCATCATATTGGCCAGGCTTGTCTTGAACTCCAGATCTCATGATCTGCCTGCCTCATCTTCCCAAAATGCTGGGATTACAGGTGTGAGCCACTGTGTCCAGCCTGTTTTTGTCTTAATTTTAAAGTAAAATGTTAATTCATTTTGTGGGATTACTTTGGCAAACCTGGGAGATCCCCAAACAAATTTTTTAAAGTTTTTTCTATTCTACTTTGTTTTCTACTTTCTCTTAAATAAAAGTGTATCTCTTGTACAAATAAATACTATGAATTATAGTAATGATAAATTATGATTTTCTTTGGTGAGGGTCAGTTCTCCTAGACAGTGGTTTAGCTAATGCCAACTATTTGGCATAAGAATCTGTAGCAATGGAGAGGTGAAGAAGAGCTAAAGGAAGAATAAGAAAGACAACAGCATCTTTCAGAAGGTCCTCTTAAAAGGGATCATTTCCGGTTTTTTTTTTTTTACAAGTTATAACCTCACTACACTAAAGTCACATCTGAGTGTTCCGAAACTTCAAATGCCCAGTGACCCCATGGCAAAAACATCGGATAACATTTCTCTCATTTAAACAAGTCTTCTTTTCCTTTTTCTTCTTTGTTTTTTTTATTCACTGTCCTCATTTCTCTCTTGTTCTCTCCTCCCATTTCTCCTTTTCTCTCTGTTTCTTGCTACCTCCCCTAGTGACTTACTGTCTCCTCATCTCATCCCCACACTACTTAGGTGCAACATCAGTTTGACCTCAAATTTACAACGAATATTTATTAAATTCATGCTTCTGAAACTTTTAAAGAGTGAAGAGGTATAAATGTGTCAGATAATAATTTGCTGGATGGGTAAAATGAATGACATTTCTCAAAAAGGCCAAGGGGCTGAATACAGAAATTTAAAGAATGAATTTCTGTTGGTGATATGGTTTGGATATTTTGTCCCCTCCAAATCTCATGTTGAAATGTGACCTCCAATGTTGGAGGTGGGCCTACTGTGCATGCAATACATGCACAGTATAACCAACAAAACCAAAAATCAATATTAATACATTGCGCTCCCATCTCATTCTAGAGCTTCCATGAAGATTTATCAATAGTCCCAATAATGTTTCATAGCAAAAGGATCAAGTTCAGAATCGTGCATCACCTTTGATTGCCATGTATTTTTAATATCCTTATATCCAGAAGAGATCTCTAGAACTAACTTGACCAAGATTTCTGGCCCAAATTTTCTTCTTTTTTAAATGGTGTTTATTTCCCAAGGGTGGATCTCCGTGAATGGTTTTGTGCTGTCCTCCTGGTAATGAGTTCTTGCTCTATGAATACATGAGAGATGTAGTTTAAAAGAGCCTAGTATCTCTCTTGCTTCCTCTCTCCCCATGTAATATGCCGGCTCCCCCTTTACCTTAAGCCATGATTGTAAGCTTCCAGGGCCTCAGCAGAAGCCAAGCAGATAATGGGGTCATATTTGTAGAGCCTGCAAAACCATTAGCCAACGACTCCTCTTTTCTTTATAAATTACCCAGTATTCTTTTACAGCAATGAGATGGACTACTACAGTCAGTTTTGACAACATGAACCTTTCAGATTAAAATTTAATTTCTAAATTCACCCGTCTGTTGCGGTTGCCTTCTATCCTTTCTGTAATAATGAATTTTGCATATGACTTTAAATGTGCTTTAAAAAATTGATTCACTTTTTAGTTCTATTTTTGGAAACTACCAGCTTCCACTATTGAGATAAAAGTATCATCATTGAGGCTTTACTGCTGAGGTAGCTGTTGTTTGATTTCCCTTCAGTTCTACTGCTGCCCCAGTGGAAACGGGAATCTTCACAACTTATATGACATGTTTGCCTGAACTCTAATCTTCCACACCTGTTGTAGAAAAGAGAATTAAAGTGGCAGTTGAAGGCAGTTTTCAAATTTAGAAATGGTATCTGCTCAGTATTTTCCTCTGTGTCACTTACTAAAACATATCAAAGACATTGTGGACAATAAAAGAAAGGGAGAGGTTTAATGTGACATTTTACTACTAACAAATGTTAGAATTAAACACGTGGGCATGTGAATCCTCAAATGTTATCTGAAGTGTAAAGTGTGGTTTCTAGTATTCTTGCCCCTGTATAATCTTGAAACAAAAAGACAATGCTTTCAGTTTCCTTGTGATTTAACAAAACATTAAAAAGTTGGTTGTTAGAATTAAACAAAAGTATTTTGTTATTGATTAAATAATGTAAATTTACGAGTGGTAGATGGTTTAGAAGTTCAAGTAAGTTACCTAAATCAGGAAAATCAATTCAAAAATTAATTCAAAAATTTAGATATTTCTGATCAAATCTACTTAACTTTTATTATAAACGAGCAGACAATTGTATAGCATTTCAAGTAAAATGGGTTTTCCCACTGGAAATTCTGCCTGATGAATATTGTTCATGTTTCTGTGATATTTGTGGTAAATGCAGAATTTTCAAAAGGGGACATGGCCAAATTTCTAAATGCAATTATCGGTGAATTGTAAGCTCGTAAATGAATTGATTAAAGTATATGGGAAGTGTAGTTTCATAGATACAGAAAAATGGTGTGTTTAAACTGTTGGATTGAAATCATCTTATTCAAGAAATTATATTTTTTCAAGGTCACATTGAAGATCAGGCTACAAGGGAGATTGAGACAAAGCAGCCACTAAGGCAAGATTAAACCAATAATAAGCAGTGTCATTCACTGGGGCAAAAGAAATACAGTGGAATTTGCCTTTAATGAAGATTTTGAAGACTGGTTAACCACGTCAAAAACAGTAAGATAAGATGACAAGTAAAATGAAGCCAGAAAGTGACCATAGGGTTGGACAGCATGTAGATTATTAGAGACTTTGGTAAGTGTCAATTTTAGAGAAATCATGTGATAGGAACCTAACAAAGGGAACTGAAAGTAATATGAGGTAAAGTATTAGAGACAAGGCTGGGCATGGTGGCTCATGCTTATAATCCCAACACTTTGGGAAGCCAAGATAGGAGGATTACTTGAGCCTGGGAATTTAAGACCAGACTGGCTAATATAGCAAAAACCCCTGTCCCCAAATATTAAAAAATTAGCTGGGTCTGGTGGCACATGCCTGTAATCCCAGCTACTCATGAGACTGACTAAAGAGGATCTCCTGAGCCTGGGAGATTGAAGCTGCGATGAGCTGTGACTGTTCCACTGCACTCCAGCTCGAGTGACAGAATGAGACCTTGTTTCAAAAAAGAATTGGAGACAAGAAGTATGGTTGAAAAAGAACACAAAAAGTGAGGTAGAGGTTAGAGGAGATGTGGGGCATTTATGACTGTTTACTTTGTGGGAGATTTTAATATGCTGGTCTGTATGGCCAGGAACAGAGGAATGGGTGACTTAGTATAAAGGCCCTGTATGCAATAGAATGGTGTCCTTAGTTATGTAAGACATATTGGCCTGGGAGAGGAGGAACATTTTACTTTTGAAAAAGGAATAAAGAAGTAAAGGATCAGTGTGACTACATGTATATAGGGTGAAACTGTCCAGCAATGGTCTTTCTAACTGCTCTGTAGAGATTATAAATTATATTCTTGGACAAAGTCAGGGTCCTAGAAGAAAGATACATGTACCACACTACCCCAATATCTTCTGAAAATTACTTTGGATAATTGGGCATAATTTTACTTGCTATTGAGTATATTTTTCTTTTTTGCTTATTGCTGCTATTCTTTGAGTAACTTATACATTTTCTCCTACATTATCATTGACATTTTAATTTTGGTACCTCTATGGCCTCTTTATCTAAACAATGAAGTCCAAGTGCTTATTTGATTTCATAAGGTATTAGACCGTTCTCACATAGCTACAAAGAGCTACCCGAGATTGGTAGCTCTTATAAAGAAAAGAGGTTTGATTGACTCGCATTTCTGCAGGCTGTATAGGAGGCCTGGCTGGGGAAGCCTCAGGAAACTTAGAATCATGGTGGAAGGTGAGGGGGAGCAAGCACATCTTCACATGGTGACAGCGAGGGAGAGAGAGCAAAGGAGGAAGCGCTACACACTTAAACAGGCAGATCCCCTGAGAACTCACTCACCGTCATGAGAACAGCAAAAGGGAAATCTGCCCCTATGATACAATCACCTACCACCAGGTCCCTCCCGTAACACTGGGGATTAGAATTCAACATGAGGCTTGGACGGGGACACAGAGCAAAACCATATCATATGCTATTACTATTAGTATAGCATGACTTTGTGAGAATGATTTTTCACTTTCTTGGATACACTTAATTGGTAAAGACTGTCCATTAAGAGTTCTTTGGCCTAACACACTACATCAGATTCTTATATTCATCAAGGTGAATTGAAAATCTGTTTTCTCATTCTCATACTGTTACTATTCCTGCCTCTCTAAGGATGAAGAACTCCCTTATGCTCCGTAGAGTATGAAATGCCTGGAGAACAAGAGAATGGTTCGTTAGAAAAGGAGTAGATAAAATGGCCTAAACAAATGACAGCAATTTTTGTCCTGACCCTTAATTTATTACTCCTGTGGGTTGTCTGTAAGAGTGAAGCATGATAAAATAATATCTAAAATATTAGAATGTAAGGAAACTCAGTCTCCCTAAGCTCTTATGAATTGACCATAATACTTCAGGGGCTAGCTTTTATGCTTATGAATATAATTTTGATTAATTACATGCATGACTAATGAGCAGAAGCCATGACACTTATAGTACAGTTCATTTTACCTGTATTAACAGGGCACTTACCATGAATAAAGCACCTTCAGGGAAACAATGAGTAACATCCATCATCAGCTGGACTCTTCACACCATAGACGCATATTCTGGAGAACTTTATGTAATAAAGATGTGATTCATGTGCTTGGGAAGAATTAAAAATTTATGTATTAAGCATAAAATGCAGAATGAATTAATACAGCTATCAGTATATTTGAGTTATTTTTTTCTGGTTTCTTGCTTAAACATTGACATGTTAGAAGAACATGGTCTTGATACATTTATTCAAGTTGATCAGTGTTTCATTTGGGAGGACGTACAGTTGGAATATTCCTTATCTGAAATGTTCGGTACCAGAAGTGATTAGGATTTTGGATATTTTCAGAATTTGGAATATTTGCACATTAGAAAATAAAATATCTTGGGGATGGGAGCTATGTCTAAACATACAATTTATTTATGTTTCACACACACTTTGTATATGTAGCATAAAGGTAATTTTATTTTAGCTTTGTGGATACTGAATAAACTATGTTATGTGCCTGCACTTTTACTGTAAATTGCAAGAAATCAGATGTGGAATTTTCCACTTTTGACAGCATGCCAATACTCAAAATTTCAGATTTTGGAATATTTCGGAATTTAGATATTCTGATTAAAGATACTCAACCTGTATACGCTTACCTATACCTAGCAAACTAATACAAGAACAGAAAAGCAAATACCCCATGTTCCCACTTACAAGTGGGCGCTAAATGATAAGAACCTATGACCACAAAGAAGGAAACAGAAACTGGGGTCTACTTGAGGGGAGTGGTGGGAGGAGGGAAGAGAGGGAGAGGAGCAGAAATTATAACTATTGGGTACTGGGCTTAATACCTGGGTGATGAAATGATATATACAATAAATCCCTGTGACATGTGTTTACCTGTGTAACAACCCTTCACATATCCCCCCAAACCTAAAATAAAGTTTAAAGAAGAGGAATATATAGCAATAGTCCATGGTAATACCTTTCACATTAAAAAATACAGTGAATGTATAACTTCTAATTTATTTTTTGACTCAGATCCACAAATTACATTGGAACCCAATGTTCTAAAGTTTTAATGTATTAATTACATTGGTATTAGTACAGTCTCACATTTCCAAATTAAGTTTATTTTTTTAGCCACTTTAGATTTTGCATCTCTGACATGATTTGTTTTTGGAAAGAACTTTGTTTCCTTTACACAGTCATGGAGTGAGGGAGAGAAAACGCATTGCCGTGATGCTGCGGTAGTGGCGTCTATGGCTGCTTTTGTCATGGCGGTAGTGCAAGGCTGCAGCAGGTGTGTGACTGAATAAAAGAGCCAAAGAAGAAATGCAAAATTCTAGGAAATGAAATACATAGGTCAAAGAAGGCAAGATTGTGGTGGAGAAATGAAAAGAAATGACCATTGGTGACTGTGAACCTCTGGCTGTGAAGGGAAAGCACTCTGAAAATACTCAAGGAGAGATGGCCAAGGTGTGGATGGAGTCATTCCTCTCTCTGGGAGAAGGTCCTTCTTCTTAGAAACAGATGACTTAAACTAGATGATGGTGACAGTGTCTCCTTCCCAGCTATAAATTGTTATCGTATTAATACCTCAACTGTGGTTTCAGCGTGTAGGCTAAGGAGTACATTAGCAAAGTATATGAGAGATCCCCATGACAGACTGATAGGGGGAAAAGAGGCCTGGATAAACATCTCACTAATGTAAAAGTACTAAGAGTTTCCACAGTCAGCGTTATCACTCAAATTCAACAAAATAAAATATAACTTGTAAGAGCCTGGGAAACATTTAGGAAGAAAGACATTAATGAGAAGGACGCATTCTTTTTCTTTCTTTTTTTTAAATTAGTGCAGAAAGAAAACATATTTATATGTTCTTAATTGTGTTTGTCAGAAAGACGGTTATAGAACCTGAAAAAGTTCATCAAAAATATTATAACCAAGAAAATTAAGGTGTTAATGTATGCATCTGTATGTATATAGGCACATCATATGCATATATGTTATTTATATGATATAGGATGAATATATCAATATGCAATATATTATTGAAGTTGACTTATTTCTCACAATAAGCATATAACATATTTGGTATAACTTACCTAATGTCTATTCACATTGAAAGTGATAGAGAAGAAAAATGGATCCATTTGCATATTTTATATGCATTGTACTTTATCCTTATTATTAGCATATATGTAATCCAGAAAAAGAAGTCAGTTTTAAGCCTGGCAAATGACATTTCATTGGTACTGCAGTGGTGTTTTATAAAACACTCAAAGAAGAAAGAACAAAGAAGGAATTTAATGATGGGTTTCCTTATAAAATCAGCAAATAATTAAGAAAATAAAATGGCAAGTGGTTTCAAAATATTTTATTAATATACCATCTCTGTTATTTTGTAGTTTATCTTAGACCAAAAGTGAATGCATAGATGCAGTATTTTTTATCAGTAAATTACTGATTTAAAATGTTTATCTTACAGAAAATGATATGCAATTGCCATAGAAAATCTAGAACATTTTGAACCGTTTTATAAGCATATACATGTCTAGCACCCAAATCTCATCTTCAATTGTAACTCCCACAATTCCTACCTGTTGTGGGAGTAACCTGGTAGAGGTGATGGAATCATGGAGATGGGTTTTTCCCCTGCTGTTCTCATGATAGTGAATAAGTCTCACGAGATCTGGTGGTTTTAAAAACGAGAGTCTCCCTGTACAAGCTTCTCTTGTCTGCCACCACGTGAGATGTGCCTTTTACCTTCCCCCATGATCGTGAGGCCTCTTCAGCCACATGGAACTGTGAGTCCATTAAACCTCTTTTTCTGTATTAATTACCCAGTATTGGGTATGTCTTTAACAGCAGCATGAAAACCATCTAATACGGTCACCTCATCACCCAGGCTGGAGTGCAGTGGCCCATTCTCAGCTTCTGCCTCCCAGGCTCAAGGAATCCTCCTGTGTTAGCCGCCTGAGTAGCTGGGACCATGGAGGCATGCTACAATTCCTGGCTAATTTTTGTATTTTTGATAAAGACAAGGTTTCACCATGTTGCCCAGGCTGGCCTTGAACTCCTGAGCTCAAGCTATCCTCCTGCCTCTGCTATCCAACCTGCTGGGATTGCAGGCATGATCCATCATGCCCAGGGTGGGGCAAGCTATTGAATGTCTCTGTGCCTCAGATTCCTCATCTCCAAAATGTGAATCCATATCTCCATGTTCTTGTATGAGTTAAATGAGATAAAAATTCATAGTATTTAAAGGCATGCCGGGAACATAGTAAGCACAGAATAGGTAGAGTGACACATGATCTGTGTCTGCAAAAGAATGTCAATTCAGGCCTCCTGTCCTGGACTATTAATAGGAACCTGTTCCACTTTCAGTAGTGCCTTGTGTGGACAATAAATTTTATAGTCACCCTGTATGTGAAAAATTGTTATTATTTTTTCTAGGCATATGCATGATTTTACATGGTTAAGATAGTATTATATTAACAGTTTCAATCTTATTTTTATCACCTTTATATGGTATTGTTAGAATTTTCACATTTCAATCCGTTTTTTATTAATAATTCTAATGTTTGTATATGATCCATTAGAATGAATATTCCTTAATTTACCTATGTATATGTCTATTGTTTTTAATATGGCCCACCAAAATAATGCTGTGATGAGTATCTTTGCCCATATATTTTGACTACACTTCTGCTGAATTTCTTACCATAGTAAATTTAAATTATTGAGACAAAAAGCAATGCACATTTGTTAGGATTTTGATAATGGTCTGTGTCTTAAGCCGTGGAGAATTCTAAAATACAGCTTAGACAAGAAATAAGGCAACCAAACTTTTGCTGAAAATGCATTTCAGAGTTAAAATTACATGGAAACTTAGGTTGATTCTTTCATTTGACCTTTATTTGCTGAATGGCCTTTTTATCCTATGTTGGTAATGATATTCAAGATTCTTTTCTGCTTGGTATTCCTACACCATATCCTAGCTGTCATTTTGTGCTAATTTTCCATAAATTATCTAGCAAAAACAAACCACTCAATAACAAAGAATGAATTGAGTGTATGCCCTTTGACTTATGATTTCTGGAGCTGGAGATCTCCTGTGGCTAAAAGAAAATATTCAACACATCAGTGTGTGTCAAACATCAGTTCTGAAATTATCAGGTAATCTCAAATCTCCAAGGCTGTTGCTGTGGGTTTCAATAGATTTGCAGAGTTGTTTTAAAGGAAATAGGAAATGTCAGACTTGTGTCTCTAAGGTTTGGTCTCCTGAGTACTGGTTTGTATATGTCCTTTATTGGATGCCCTTTTGTCCACATAAAGCAGAAATATTAGGTTTGTTTGGAATCCGTGCTCTTCTATTTGATTCTGATGAGGCTTGACAATTTCATATCTTTCCTTTGTTTTCATCTTCCCTGTATAGTAACTTTTGATTTTGTAGTTACCTTTAAAACACATTAGGTACTTTTCAACAGTAATTAATACTTTATAGGACCAATAGATTGAGGTATGCTTAAGATGATATCTTTTTGTTTAATAAAAAAAACTGAGATTTTAGAAAATTTCAGATTGTAGTGGATTTATAATTGCAAAGAGAGATACTACTTAATTTAATTGGATGTTTTGTGGTATTTATATTTCATTTCATCATGTTTTGAAATTGGAGGAAAAACATTTCTTCCTCCAATAACATTTCTGTTTGTTCTCCATTTCTCTTTTTTATAGGATTGAAACTGCCATTCCTGAAACATTTCCTTCTTTATTGTAACTTGCAACTTTTATCGTTCTCTTCTTAAATTATATTCTCTAGAATTTAAATTTGGAACATTTGTTTTTAACTTTTAATTTTGAAATAATTACAGACTCACAATAAATTTCAAACAACATGCAAGGAAACTCCATGTATTTGTCAACCAGCTTCCAGCAACAATAAAATTTTACATAACTGCAGTGAATTATCAGAACCAGGAAATTCATATTGGCATAATACAATTAACTAGTGATATGGTTTAGCTGTGTCCCCACCCAAATCTCAACTTTAATTGTATCTCCCAGAATTCCCACATGTTGTGGTAGGGACCCAGGGGGAAGTAATTGA